TTGCTGCATACATGTAGGTATTCAGTAAATAACGCATACATGTACACACTTGGGTTTCCAGAGTGTGCGACATAAACACACTTGCGTTTCCAATGAACTAACTAACACCTTCGGGCGTGGAGTGGTGTAAAGGTGTGTGACGGAAAGCGGAGAAACGCACATAAAAGCATTTAACAGACTCTCTGCGTGATGACTGCTCAGTCACCGCCGTCGCCGCCCTCCTGATGCGCGCGCTCCCCGAAGTGAGCCAAATAATAGAGGGTCTAATATAGCCCCAATGTGGCCCAAGGTCACCGGGGCGCGGCGGCGGAGCGTGGCGGGCGACGGAGGAGGGGAAACCTAATAGTGTCAACAGGAAGATAAACAGTGGCGGGGCTCGATTTGAACCCCCTTCTTATTCCCGCAGATCCGCGCAGATCCTTATTCGTCCTCTCCCCTCTTTCCCCTCTCCCTTTCTCTGACTCGCTTCTCTCTCTCTCTCTCTCTCTCTCTCTCTCTCTCTCTCTCTCTCTCTCTCACTGCCCTCCAGCGCCCCCCCCCCCTTCCCACCACACACACGCTCGGCTGGCCTCATCCAGGCCAGGGCCCCATTCGTCCCGTCAGACAAACACAGATTGACAGAGGCATACGTGAACGCACGCACACACTGGGCGCGTGCTGTTGCTGTGGAAACTGCGGGCGAACTTGGACACCACGGGAGAGAGGGAGGGGATCACCGCGGGACCAATCAAAGTGTATGGGGCTGAAAGGGGTGGGAAAATTGAATGCTGTCGCTGGCTGTGCCTGACTGACTGCTCGGCTCGGCGTTGTTCTGTTTTCAATCAAGTAGTGTCGCGCTGGTCGCCACGCCGCCGCCGCGGCCGGGAGTGGTACACGACACAATCTACAGGAAACGCCTTTACTTGTACTACATGTTACTCTCACTTTGTTTCTACATTTTCAACCAGCTTATTTCACAAGGGAATTACATTGTTGTCGCTGGGTGGAATCTTGTATCAAATTCGTACGTAACACACAAATTTACCTATGATGTACACTGTAAAAAGCTTGCGAAGAACAATTCTTTGCAAAGAATTTTAAAGCAATCTGGTCACTGTACAATCTTGGCCTTAAAGTAGTATTCTAGTAAGGTCCCTACTTAATAAGCCAAACTATACTTGACACCGTTGTCTACATTACAAGAGAAAGGGGTGGCCATCATTGGGCAGGCCCATTCTTAGGGTGGCCATCAGTCATAGGGCATCGTACCCTACGTTTAAACGAATATGACACAACATTTAAACTAGGTAGATGTACGCCAGACCACGTCTCGCGTAACAGGCTTCGCGATATCTCACGAAACACTGTTACGCTGCGACGCGCCTGGCATACATCTACCTAGCTGACACCCGAGTCGGGCAAAAGAAAGAGTCGTAAATAGGCCTTCGGCCCCAAAAGTCACAATTATTGCTCCTCAGAGTTTTATTTTGACGAGTTGACCCTTCAGAGACCATGAAATATTTGAGAAAAAATATTGAAATGGTTTGGGGTCATTTCCGTGTGAAAAACAGTGTCTGGCGCCTCAACGGTTAGAGATAGAGCCAAACGAACGAAATTTTTGCCCAAAGGGCTCTACTTTGATGAGTTACCCCTTCGGAAATAGTAAAAAAAAATAATTTTAAAAAACGTCATTTTGGGGACCTGTGGTTTTTGATTTTTTTTAAATCCATTTTTTGAGCTAGAATGCTCTACTTCGAACTTGATCTGTCTTTTTATGATACAAAACGACCCTGAAAATCCCAGGTCACTAGCTCAATTTGTTCTCGAGTTATCGTGATGACAGACAGACAGACAGACAGACACACACACACACAGACAGACGCGAAACTTTTTGATCACTGGAGTAATAGGCTTCGCTAATCGCTCAGCCAACAAACGTGACCCGATAAACATTGAAATAAATGTGACGTCACATTCTTTGAATAACAGTGTCCAGATGTATCGTGTCCCATCCAGAACTCGTCCGGATGTATCCAGACATTTAGGGGTCCTATCCAGATCTTATCCAGAGAGTTCTATAAGAGTGCGAACTAAATCCTTTATACATTGCAAAATAGTTCTTCGCACCTTACGAAGAAGATTGTTCGTAACGCTGCAAATAGTTCGTGACCTTGCAAATTATTTCTTTGCAACTTACGAAGAAAATAGTTAGGAATGCTTAAAAATTCTTCGCAAGAATTTAGCAGTGTATGTTGTAAAATTTAAATTTTACAATTTAAAACTACGAGTTCTACGTAAAATTCATTATTCATTTTTCGCGCAATATCGTAAACGCGCAATAATTTTTATCATTTTTAGCGAACCCAACATCAACGTTTAAAACCGATTAACTACTGCGTTGTTGCTCTTCTTCCGGTACTGGTTGTTGAGCAATGATACTACATGGGTTGTATCGCAATATGGAGAGTTTGTGATGACGGTGACTGGCTGACGAAATAAGCAAGGGACCGTTCTTTTGCGTCACTCCTCAACCCCTCTATCTTTTGCACTCACACAATATTGCGAGTTTGTTCGAGAGGGAACCCCTCACCCTCAGTTTGTTCTGCCCCACCCCCACCCCGCCTAATTCTCGTGGTTATGTCTTTATAGCCATCGAGCCTCACTTCTAGTTCGCAAGTCGGCTCAGGACACCGCCGGTCTGGCCTGCGGTCTGGCGGTCCACCATGTCTTCGGAGAGATTTGTCTCTCCTGAGGACAGTGCAGGACAGTGAAGACATAGAGGAAGAATGGAGGAAGAATGGAGGAAAAGGGGACGGCTAGCGACGTGGAACAAAACTTTCCTAAACTATCGTGGGATGGGTGGACAGGGGCTTGAGCACATTGAGCCAATTCGACGTTGTTTTTGTAAATCGAGTCAGTCGACGGGGGACAAGCACCGCGAACAAAGTATTGAAACACACACAAACAGACACACACTCACACACCAAATAACAACGTGTAAAAATCTATTCGACTGGGGAAATGTTTTTCTATTTTACTTCACATTAGAAGTCAAAACTCAAAGACGCAAGACTAGAACAAAAAATGTGACTCGAAGTCTAGAAACTTTTCTAAAATACGTTAAGAACGAAATTGTACTGGCTAAGATTTAGTTACCTTTTAGTTATCAATTGTTGTATGGGAGTATGCAATAAAAAAAACAAATCATATGCCTAAGGGAGACTTAGAACACTAAGTTGCGTCTACACTGTAAAAAGCTTACGAACTAAATACTTTGCAACGTTACGAACAATTTCCGTTCTTTGTATTGCAAAGA